GAAAACATTTGTGGAAGTTTGCTCAATGCCTGTCTGTTAGAGCACGTAATGAACCTTGAATGTTCAACGGAAACACTTTCTAAAGATATTCGGTGATTGTTAGGTAACTGCATATAATTTTCCAATAAAGCTTGGAAAAGTTATCCCGTATCAACACATATTAAAATACAAAAAACAGGTTTTAAGCATTCTATTATGGTTTAAAATTAGATCAATATCCAAGACACACATAAAATTAGATGTTCACAAACAGTAAAGTGTTGTAAGTATTGATTAGTATACTTCCGAAAAACGTTTCAAATTGCGCTAGATTCGCGGAATCGAAACAAATTGGCAAACAGTTTGAAGAGAATTCAGAGAAATTAGTGTTAACCCGAGTATACATAAACAGACCTATATAACCAGCGATGTTAACGAATTGAGCGAGGACATCAAAAAGCTGTTCCTTCATAAATTCGTTTGCTGTTGGGGAAAGATTGAATCGTCATACGGGAAAACCAAATAGGTCATTGCTTTTTACGGCTACTGTCTCGCTGACATTTGAGTTATAGTATGTAGAAAGACATATTTAGAGGCGCATTTGTTCGTGATTTAATCGAAGATATATGCGAATCATGATTCACATCTGAATAGAGTTTAATCGCGAAATACCATATAAACCAAGAAAATCCTCTATAAGTCTTTAACTTCACAAAAGCGGTTTGATTAATTCCTAAGAATGAAGTAGTCTTGTGTGCTTCTTGGCTAACCACATAATTCCTTAGTATTTTCCAACAATCACTTTCAAGATAACTTAACTTTGTTAGGTGATCTAACAACCTGTGAGAATTTTCCTCAATTAAGTCTCCGACTCATAAATTTTTTTTTCATATCTACGTTAGATAGAATTAAATGAATTAAAAACTGAATACCGCATGAACAATGTAAATTGTTGAAAGCCATTCTGGAGTAAGCTATAGTAAAATAAGGTAGTTAAAATGAATGTTTAATGAACGGTCCGTTAAGTAAAATAATACGGTAAAGTAAAAAACCGAAAATTAATTACCTACTTGTTATTTAACCCAATGTTGGTATAAAAACACTTAGAGGCAAAATATTATTCTAATCATTATAGACGGTGTTATAAAAAGTATGATAAAAACCTCAGATCATTAATATCGTTTATCGATAAAGCGGGTTTTACGGACCCGCTGAAATCCCTCATCAATAAATAGAATATTGGCTTCTTTATTACCGCACAGACTGATGTTGATAATATTTTAAATGAACCATTTCGCTATTACGATTTATTTACAGGCGCACTGCATCGACGCCTCTTCAAATATCAATTAAATTATTTCTAAGAAAATTGACCGTAAAATGTCGTCAAAAAATCATAATGCCGTCGTCGGTTTGTTGATTTTGCTGAACAATTGAAAATTTATTAAAGAAAGTTCGATCAATAACAGACATTTTTAGTTTGAAAATATGTGATAAATGAATTTCGTCTGTAGACGCACTAATGTATACATCATTTATGAAACCTAGTTTTTCCAACTGATTATCGAAGTCATCAGAATCTAGAATAGCTTCAAAGGATATACAAGAATATTTACAAAGGTGTTCAATTCTATTACCAATATTGGGTTACAGTTCAGGAGCTCAACTTCCATACAAACTTATCAACGAAAATATTCGAGTGGTAAATTACTATTCATTTATCCCACTTCACTACATTTAATGTCGGAATCAAGATTGGCAGAACTTATTTGTTTAACTTGCAATCCTAACTTTTATTTTAAATATTTTCTTCTGGTACATTTGTGTGCATTGGTCTTGCTTTCGTGGCATTCTATATGATCTAATAATTCAAAATGATTGAAGCAAACATTTCTAGTCTAATTTGTACATCCCTTTGATCGGTTCGATAAAAGCCTTGACACTGAACAAACAATTTGCCCCAATTTCGTGACTCGTTCTTGTCTTGCCGCATCAGACCAAATTATAGGTAACAGAATTAATGGCACTAATGTTGCAGGTATTTTACACCTTTCTCTAGACATTTCGTTGAGTCAAAAATGTTTTCCTAAGGATAAGGTTTTTTGTTTTCACTCCTCGGGATTTGGTTGTTTGTTTCATTTCTTTACGGAGTTACAAAGACACGAAGATTGACAGATCTAAGCGTGTAATAAAATGTTTTCTTTGCTGTTTGCACTTCTTCGGAATAAAGAAAAAAGTTTAAATAAACTTCGTGCGGAAAATGGCGACCGGTTATAAAAACATTAATTTCTCTCGAATGGCTCAAGCAGGTAAAGATCCAAATTTCTCATAAGACATGAGACTATAACATCGCATATTTTTTTCTGTCTGAGCTATTCTATATTGCCTCGGACCAAATTAAACTTTTACTTTTTTATAACTGAGATTTTGTCCAAGAATACAGCTATGATTCCTTAAAATTATTCAAATCGAATTACTGACAAAATATTCATAGTCAAAAGTTTAAGCCACGCGTTAAATTTGCCGCCCCTTGTATTAGTAACTAGAAACAAAATTTAAGACATCACGAGTTCAAATTCAATAAAAACTTAGGAGATATTTGAGTAGTAAATTAAACGACGCAGCAAAATTGCGACAACCATCTGCAAACTTTCGTTTCATTTTACCCACTTTACTCAATTTAATGCTAGAACTAAAATTAACACAGCATTTTTTGTGTTTGTTTAACTTGCAAATCTAACTTTTTATCTTTTTAAGCAGTAATGTGCATTGCTGGTGCCTTCATGGTATTCTGTATGATCCACTATTTCAATCAGATTCAAACTAATGTTTCTAGTTTAGTTTGTACATCCCTTATCCCGGTTCGATAAAAGCCTTGACACTGAACAAACAATTTGCTCCAATTTCGATACTCGTTTTTGTCTTGCCGCATGAGACCAAATTATACGTAGCACAATTGATGACACTTATGTTGCAGGTATTTTATGTCTTTCTCTATACATTTACTTGAGTCAAATTACAAGACAAATAATGAATGGTATTTGGTTTGATTGGCTTGGCGGATTTTAGCTTTGACCAAGAAAACATGACACAATTTAAACACCCTGTACAATGTTTTTATTACCATTGTTTCTGATTATCATACAAATAAAATTTTCTTCAAAATTGAGCTATGATTCGATAAAAGAGTTTGAATCGTATTACATTACTGATTAAGAAAATATTCACAGTGAAATGTTAAGTAATATTTCAGAGATGCGTTAAATTTGATATTAGAATAAATTTTTTTTATTTACAAATTTGACTTTATTTTTACATCAATAGCTAATAATACACTTGGATTTTCATTTAAAAAATAAATTTAAACATAAAGTAAAGCTTTCTAAATGACAAATATGGCAATTTGTTAATAAAACTGGGTAGATACTTCGAATTATGTACCTGCACACTACACACATACATACTGGATGTGAAAATTGTAAAAAGTACCCTCTATAATCCAATTCTGATTATTTGCCGAAACCAGGAATATAGTGAGTTGGTAAATTTGAAGTTTGCATGTTTTTTTAATTAATTTTAATAAATAAATATTTATTTTTCTAGTACGTCTACGTTAATATTAATTTATTCGTTTTATTTTAAAATCAGTTTCACTGAAGTTAAAATCCATGTTATTTTGTAAAAGCGTATTATTTCTAGCAGTGGGAATACGGAATAACAAAATTTTATTGATAGCTGAATAATTCAGCTGTGTATGGAACATTTCACAAAATATGTATTTAAGCGAAAATAGCAAATAATGCCCGTTTGTATGGGTTTCCAATAACTCAATTGTCATGTGGATTGGAAACATTTTACGAGAGATTAATTATTGGAAATTAAACAAAGAGTTTGTGACACCAGTAACGCATGTTTCTTATTTTTTCACTATTTGGTTATTCTAGAGGTTCTTTATTCCTGTGGTTTATAATGATTAATGCTATGATCACCGTACTTACGGCTATCACTTACCTGCAATATAATTTTAATTAAATCGACATACTTCATGCAGTAGCAAACAGTAATTTCCAACGATGCTGATTTCCTCTTTGGCAATTTTAGGGGCGTTTTAGAACAGATGCTAATTCATCTAACCCATTAAAACTAGATAAACTACCCTACTCCGAATAAACAGCATTGCAATTAAGTTCATAGAACGTAAATACCACCATCAAAGACAGGATCCAGGTTTATCTGGAGATAATCACCTTTAAAGTGACCCTTATCTCGCTGATAATCCGTTGTGATGGATATCGATTAAATGTCAGACCCATACCTACGTGTATCTCGCACAGTTCAAATAATTACTTTTTACATTGATAACTATTCACTCTCCCAAATCATATTTAGGAAAGGACAATGTCTCAAATATTTTGATCCAAATCAGCTTAATTAGGGTATTGCCTTATAATAAAAGACTAGTCAAAAATGGTCATAAAAGTGTTTCGAAACTATGCATCTAAAAATTATCCTTCGGCAGGCTCCGAAGTATATATGTATATATATGTAGTAAGTTTTGCATTTTTTTCAACTCCTACAGTTCTTCAAATAATTAAAGTATAAAAAAATCGCTACTATACATTTACTAGACCCGCTAAATTAATGTGAGAATACTCCGGTTTTTCGTGTTTCAGTTCGTTTCTTCATCCAAATCCTAAATCCTTTTCAACAACTAAGTTTTATTCCCTTATCAGGTTTGAATATTTTTCTAGGGTGGCCCGAGATAGACGAAAATTATATACCTTTACGCGCCTGTTTAATGTAATATATCATGGTGATTTTCGGGAAAAATATGTGACTGACAAGTGATAATTTGTAGACAAATTTTTTGAAAATCCTGTCAATATCCTGTAGTTTGGCAGCCCAGTGTGATATTGAGTTAAAAAAATTGAGAGTGAAATATTAAATAAAATGCCTTAATTGTGCCACATAATAAACCGAATCAAATTGGATGGCATGTCGAAATATTGATGATCATTTACCTAGTTTCCGTTTGACCGAGCACAAAGAGGAAAAATTAAAGTTTGCATCCTTTATGGAAATTATGGCTTCACTGTCCGATGTGGGCATCAATATTTCCAGTATTTCTGTTTCCGTCAGCCCATATTCGGAACAAGTGATAAGTGAAGCCAGTCTGCAAATGGCTTCTTTACAATATGTTTGTTCCAGCCGGTCAAGCACTTCTTCCACCACATCTGGAACAAAAATGTATTATTGATGATTTGTTTGGGATGTATAATTTTAGCTTATGCTGATCAGAAAATATTATTCCGCTAACCTGAAAAAGGTATTGGCAATAAGAAGCAAAAAATGATAATATAATAATTTTCAAATGCGTCATTTGCATTTTGAGTTATTTGTCCAAAACTGAGAAAATTCAAAACTTTATCAACTGGGATTCGGCTTGCAGTTGCTATAATTCGGGTAAGACGGGCAGATCGGTGCAGTTGATACACATAATATACTAACGTAAACATCTGATATTACATCTAACGTAATCTTTAAATAAAAAATTTGAATTTTTGTCTAATTGTGTGGCCGGAATGGAGCGTTCAAAGTACCCTATTCTGCGATGCCTTTCTTTAATAATACAAGCCGCAAAAATGTATGAATTGTATTTTGAATTTATACAAGAATGAAGTATTTTGAATTATATACAAGTTTGAAGCGGTCTTTTCACAGAAATAAAAATTTATATTTAGCAAAAAATACTTGCGAAGCAATTTAAGAAAGTATATCAGAAGAAATTCTTATTTGCTTAGTGTACGGTTTTCATGTACACATGATAGTCGTAATCGTTTAATGAAGGAACCAGTCTTATACATTTGAATATTGAAATATGTAGTTCTCATAATTTCCAGTTACCTAATGCATGCACGAAATCACATCAGGGCTTGATTTATTTTGTGGTTTGCGTCGGTGCGTCATTATATTATTTCGCTGGAGTAAATTAATTTTGTAAGTAAATCTTCTCTTTGAGCAATAATTTCTAGCATCAGGTTATCGCAAGGTTAGACGATAAAAGTGTGATGAACTAAATTTGTATCTACAATTAGAGCAGTTAGTAAATACAGTTAAACGTTAGTTCAAAGATAATACGCCTGCTCTAACAGAAATACAGTTACTCCCTGGTCTAACATAAGAGTTCCCATCTTAGTAGCGTATAGTACGAACTAAGGAACTAATGTGGAAACGAGAGTTAAATTCGAACCATTAATAATACCGAATATTATTTTCGTGTATAAAATATATTTTTTTATCAAAATAATTAGCTTGAATTGCTCATTGTTTGAAACTGGTGAGTTTTTCGGGTTTTGAAGCAATAGCGAATCCAATTACAAAGGATGGATCAATAATCTACCATCGGAACTTGCAAAATATCAGAGAGAAAATGCATTCTACAAGAACCTCAAAAAAGCAAGGGTTTGTGTTATCAGGCTGCCTTGACGTCCATAGATTAATAATTGGTTTTGTTAAAAAATAATTGTGATGATCTCTCTAGGTAATTGATTTACAATGCAGTTTACAAGGGTTTCCGTAAGGCTATTGTTATTTGGAACAAAAAATATTTCAATATTTGATCTACTTCCCTCCTAAGTCTTGCACATTCAAAACCAAATTTTGTTGTTGTTCAGAACTGTCCGTAAATGATATTTTTTTCTGTTTCAAGACAATGAATTTAGTAATAATTTCCTAGATAACTCAGTAGCCATTCGAGATTTTTCGGCTGCTGTCCAATGCAGTAAAGTGGATCCTCTTATTTAGGTAATAATAGGGTTTTTATTTATTATATTTACCTCCAGTTTCTACATTTCCTTTTAAGCAATGGTCTAATTAAGCAGAAAATTCAAAGATAAAACGTACATTTCCAGCGTTGTTGAGTTAAAAATATTTGCGAAGTGTATTAAAAATAAGTTGTAGATATTAGGTCTGCTAGAAAACCATACTGAACGAACGCACTCAAATTAACAATTGTCAAATTAATTTTTTTTTACATTTTAGATGTACAACTATGAATATTGTTACAATATCTTAGAAATATTTTATTCTGCTCAGCGTCATCGACTTTAACCTGCCCGAAAAATTTCGAAATGTTTCGTTAATCCATTTATCTTGGAATATCCACTAACGCAATTCCTCAACCAACAGTCCATATAGAGCCGAAAATTTACAAAAAAAAATCGCGCATTTTTAAAGAGTTCGCCGTATTTTATAAAGCATCCAGATTATGTATTTTTATCACAGAGACCTTCTTCTTTCCCTTCTATATCTAGCTTTCATCCAATTGAAGATTTTCATTGGGTTCAATGATTCGTTTTGGCAATTTACATATTCACCTAAGAATTACGTCCCTGTTTTTTCACAAAAAAATTGAAAACTTTCCAAAAGCATTTAAGCTGCCTTGAAATGTTTTGATGAAATTGATAGTATCAAGAGGTACTTCATACAATTAAATGTCTTACGTTTAATTCAACGTTTTCGTGCAATTAATTCATTATTTCATTCACAAAAAGAAGTTCTATTTTCTACAAACAATAAAGACGAAAATCTTGCGAAAAGCATTGTCCGGCTTAATCCCAGAGCTCCAGATCTCAGTAAAGCATAAAGCAGAAATTGATATTCCAGAGGAGACGCTCACGCTAGACAATTACCACATAATCAACACAAGTAAGAAAATAACGGCATACAAAGCGATATCTGGAATTATTTTATCAGATCTCGAATAAGAAAAGGGCAAAAATGAACGTCAGTTTTCAGTCAGAAGAAAAATAACCGCTCTTATAAAAGGCGAACTAGAAGTTTGCGGCCAAGAATAAATGAAGGTTTGTAACAAAAGAGAATGTATAAAGGCGCTAAAGCTCGAAAAACAAAGTACTAAACCTTTTTTGAGGCGATTCAACACAAACATAAATAGAAAAGACATTATATAGGGGATCAAAATGGAAAAAATGTACAGTATATCTGTAACGTTCGATAAGATCAGCGTAGAGGAACGAGCGATCGCTACATTATAAACTGTTCAAATACGGCTAACTTAAAACAATAAATGAAAGGCTGAAACAACAGAACAAAAGTTAGCAGATTAGGGTGATCGGGCAAAAAGTCGAATCACATGTATATGTAATATTTGAGAATAATATTAACGTTTAAAAATGCACAGCTTATTTAATTGGTCATAATTGTATTCTTTGCCGCAGATTCGTTTTAAGGGGAACAGAAGTGTTATTTGTATAAATCAAACGAATAACGTTTAAGTTTTCACAAAATTAAGTGGAAATGCCTAGTTTAATTTGAACTCTGTGTAGTCGATATTTAGCTGATTTTTAATTATAATCTGGATTTGACGTCTGCAGTGGTGATAATTTAGAAACAACTAGTTCGTATTGTAATTGTCGTATTGGTAAAAGGTAAAGTTATTCAACACATACCAATATTTGAATTTTTCCTTTCCATTACATATAAGCAATATTACCGACGTCGTATTTCATCCTAAACTTTCAACTTTATATCACTTTTTACTTCTAGAACAGATGAGAAAAAGTGGATTTGAAAACACGGGCGCACTGCATCAATGCAATTTGGTAATTGGGCTTTTTCAAAAATAAAAATACAACGGTTTTTCTAAACACATTTTGTCCTATATGGAAATTGAAATTGAAAACTGATCTTTTGCAACAAAAATGGCAACTAAAGCTTTTAGCTGTAAAGTACGTAATGTATAGAAATTATTCTTTGCACCGTTTTCGTCTTCTTCGGGTCATAAAATATTATTTTGCATACCTTTATTGGGTAAGTCAAAATCGCCGGTTATTCTATGGCTCGATAATTTCAGGCTACTTGGGAGAACGAGAGAACGGAAAACGTTCTGTTTGTAGACTTTTAGAACATATAAAGCGATCCAGACCTAATTTCAACTTTGTTTCATCGATTATGTTTAACAAATTTTAGGCTTAATTTATTTTGTGAAACACTTTTAAATAATGTAATTTTTTACATTTTTTCGCGAAAATTAAGAGTAACACATGTTAAAAAAATGTGAGGGAGATCTTTTCTAATTGGATTAGCTCAAACGGGTTATACTAGTCTGAAAACTTGTGGTAATTCAATTTGTGCTTTAAAACGTATAAAAATATCGCAAATGCATAATTGCAATTTTTTTGGAAGACTTTAGTAGAAGACTTAGAACGCATAAATGCAATAGAATCCTTGAGTATGCGGCTCGTTATCGTTCACTTTCCGCCAAGTGAGCAGGTTTCGATAATTTTCACGCAAGCTACACAGTTTACCGTGTTTAACTTGCTAGGCAAATTACTGCAATTTTTTCATTACAGTTTTTAAGGCGTAAGTTCTTTGTTTTATGACGCTTTCTTCAATATAATAATGAAACTATGTCAATATCGCTTATATAATTAGCGATAAAGTAGGATAAATGAAATTAAGAGCGGAGAAGTAAAAAATACAAAATGAGCACCAACTGGAAATACGAAAAAACGAGTACGAACTCGAAATTTTGTTCTATGAAATCATAATCATAAATTATTAGTGCGACAATTTTCTCACATGTTATTCGAAAGTATCAGTGGAGTTTTTATTAATTAGTGAAATCATCCTTCTATTATTGTCATAAATTTTGAAGAAAAGAATTACTCAGTCCTACAATTTTGAAAATGAGGGGTCACATTGTCTATGTTATGCCTCATAGACATATATATTTCTCCTCTAGAATTAATACAATATATTCGTTTACTCATGAGACGGTCTGAAATAACGTGCGCCACCCTGTATATTGGATGATATGTGTATATTAAATGATTATTTGTGTTATTTTACATTATTTAAGGTATTATTATACAGTATTTAAGGAAAAAATTATTAAGGATTGATGGAAATTTTGTGAATTAAAAAAAATTATAATTTCCTTGCATTATTCTTGTTCTGTAAAAGTTATAAATTAGATACGCTTTGGTAAACAATTAATCCACTAATTATCGGTTATTTCTTGTTCTGAAAGATGAAATGCTGTAACTCAAACTAAAACTGATTAAACACTACCGTATGTGTCTTCTATATTGCATATCCTAGTATGCCTTTAAATTTATAAATGTCCTGCAAAACATGTAAATTCATCTAAAGTATTCACATCCTCATTATTCGTCATTCAGTATTATATTATTTAAAGCGAATAGGTTTCATATTCAAAAACCAGAACGCGTTAATATCACGAATAATTATATTGTCAAATAATGCAAACCTAATTAACTCACGAAAATCCCAGCCAAACGTTTAGTCAATTTATTTTATAAACCTGAATTTATCATTTATATGCGCCACTTGTTCGATTCGAATACAGTAAAATAATTAATAATAGGTTACTATTTATTAATATTATTCCATGGTTTTTTACACATAAATCGGAAATAATTACGTTGATTACATTGAGGAAAATTATTACTGTTATTATACAAAGAAAAATAAAAACGATAGTATTATGAAAACATCGATGAAAGAATGTGTAAGTCCCAATCAAAATACGCACAAAGCAATAACAAAACTACTTTGAAGTTAAGCTCTTGCTGTTGTTTTCTATATTCATATTCATCACTAGTTTTTAAAGAACCTTATTTAATTTATTTGAAGATTCAAAGTAAAGTATATACGCTGGCAATGCTCCAAATTTTTTAAGTTTAAATAATTAGTCAATTAACAAATCCAAGCCCAATAAACGAACAGATCTCTTAAAAGCAGCAAAACATTTTTGTAATCGACTTTCTACCAAGCATTGAAGGAGCTGATGTTATTATATGATTATTTACTTTACAGCAAAAAATAATTATTATGTATTATCGCATAAAAATGTCTTCTCAACTGCATTCGAAAAAACAAACTTAAGCTGAAAATAGATAAATCAGGCCTACAGTCTACTTATTAGCAATTTGAGTAAACACTGAATTCAAATATTGAAACTTACCAACAAAGGACTCTGCTAACGGCATCTCAATGTAAAAATCAGGATGTTGAAATCTTTCTTTCTGTTTGGGAGTAAATCTCATCATTTCAAATGGTATTCCAGAGGTGCACAAAATATGTACATTTTTAGGTAAGCAAACGGGTAACCAGTTTAAGGTAGACATTTCCGTATCCAGTGGATTTATCAAATGTATATCATCCAAAAATATTCCAAGCACAAAGTTCAACTCCTCAAAGGTTCGGAGTAGCGTTTGGAACCAATTGTTCGTATACGCCGGATCAAAACTTGCATTTTTCGGCAAGAATCCTTGTGGTAATTTCAATGCGATGCAAATTTGTTGGCATATTATTCGAACCAGTTCCAAACTGTAAGACGATCTGGGGGTCGTTGTTATAAACCTAACCTAAAAAAATGTTTAAATAAATCTATTTTCTGAACACCAAGTTTAAAAATCAGCATTAATCCCATTCAAAATAAGCCTACAAGAAATTAATTGCGTGATTGCAATGAGCTGCTGCCAAAAGCATTTCTGCTCACTTAGACATCGAGGCTACAACCCACCGTTTGTTGGGTTAATTAAGTTAGGAATGTAAAGAAACTCGATGAACAACTGTTAGACGAGATCTGCTTTATCTCAAAAATGACAGGGTCGATAAAATGAACTGAACTCTCCATGATATTTTTCCTGAATTATTTATTAATATACATTAAAATAATTTTCTGTGGTTTAGAAAATAATGAATAGTTAAATGTGCCAGAAATAAACATATACTAGTGACTGGAGATAAAAATATTTGAACGTTATATATTTATTTTAAATTACGACTCCGTTAGTTTCTAGGGTAGTTTGTATCAGCACTTCTAAGTAGCATTAACTAGGAAAAGGAAACAGTACCTTCTGTTACTTACTTACTTACATAGTCAAACATTGAGTAATAAGAAATGTTCTTTTGCCAATATTCAGTCACTATAGAACGTGGATATGTTAATTAAGACATTCTAAATATCGGAAATCTTACAATTCTCAACGTCCGACATGAAAACCAATTTTCAAAGCTTCGATATACTGTCTGAATAAGTGATGTTTTGCCGGATCCTTGATTTCCATATATTAAAATAGGTAAGTGCTTTCGTTGGTTTCCATCCTCCATTAATTGTTTGATCCTGTCATGGAGTTCCGAATTCGAGAAATCTTTTTCTACATCTCCGTAACATAATGTTAAGTGAGTAATATTCTCTTGGAAGTTTTCCTGTAATTATCGATTTTATATTACGCGTCGAAACGTTAGAATAAAAACTGAATAATAAATCAAAAAAATTATTCTTTGCAACAGTCAGTGGGCATATATTTTTCATATTTTTATTTCAGTCGATTATATAAACTCCCTAAGAGCTCCAGAACTAACTTTATGACTAACAATCGGAATGGAAAATACCTTGCGTGATTTTCAGCATTCGTGGGTAGAAACTCGCAATAAGATGTCGGATAAGAAGTCGGCAACATTAGTAATAATTCAATTAGAACCGAATTTAGATGGATGTAGCTTGATTATCCTCATTATATGATTAAATATGTTTACTGCATTTATTTGACATCCAATTTATCTTTGCAACCTTATAAATGCCTAGAAAGCGCTTTTATTGAATGTCAGAAAATTGGTTTTTTATTTTGATTATATTTAAACGCAAAAATATTTTTGAAGGGGAAATGTAAAATATACTTCTCAAATACCTTAATTTGTATCGAGAAGTATAGGAAATCAAGTAATTTCCTTACTTACAGCTCTCTTTGGCATTTATTTGAATCTTTAAGACGTCTATCGTTTTTCCAATTATTCTGTCCCCAATATTCCAATCTCATCACTGATTTTTATAATAACGAAGTTAACGGGGCCAAGAATTTATCCATACTTCACAGATAAATTTGTCGAAAACTTATAATAGCATTTGCTTATTATGCTTTTATTATAATTAATTTTGATCTCTGGTACTTTTTTAGTTTGCTTAATTTATAGCAGTTTTGTCCTGATAAATTGGCAACGATTAATCTTAATATGGTGACTCACATCTATCAAAATTTCCTCGAGCTAGTCAAAACAATAGAAAAATCAGTAGCGGACACTACTATTAACAGCCGAAAATTAAATAAACTGGGATCTATGGCCATTCCATTACACGAGCCAATTTCGTTTAAAATAAAATACTTCAATACAGAAATCTTCAATTAATCATAACGTATTTAAGACCGTTTACTACATTTCCTTGTGTTTTTTTGATGCTGCTTTTAAGGTTATTGCTGCTTAGGTAGAAAATTGATTGGTGTAATGCTCATCGTTCATAATGGATCACACGAAATTCATTGTCAATTAATTATCTCCTTTCATATATGGGAAACTTAACACAACCAATATTTTAATGTATAGACAACGACATTTATTCCATATTTGTTTAATTCTTTTAATGCATTGACCGAAGTGTCTGACCTGCTCAAATAAGAATTTAAGATATTTTAAATAGCATTTGTCATTGCTTCATTACGGATGTGTCGCTTGAAGCAAACATAAATCTTAAAAAAACCCTCATATACAATTAAGGCAGAAATTAAAATATATTAATTCAAACACTAACGAGGTACATTACTAATGCACCAAAAGACAATTTACATTTCATGCAAATTTATTTGTCATTTGCGTACATTTTAAAATAATTTTATGTAAACTGTCTGTGACATAAAAATATGAAGTTGTAGATTAATTAACATTTTTATCGTCTCTGAGTAAACCTTAACGTAAGTAATAAAGCAATATTTTATTTGCGTTTCACGTGATTCGAAATTGAATGTGATCTCTGGTAAATTATCTTATTAACGGGGTGAGGTAAGAAACAATAACTGAAGAATTAGATTTTGAGGAGACAAAATACCTCTTCAATGCCAATGCTGAAATGCCAATGCTGAAAACCATTCTTAAGCCAATCCTAATCGAATAATTCGATCTCTAATATTCCGCAATATCAGTAGTTGTAAATAGTGAATATTCGATGACATTTATGAAATAGTACCTTGTACTTACCTCCACAATTTTTTTCCTCGATTTGAGTTCTGGTTCATCTTCTAAATTTTTTGTAATAAGTGCTTTGATTTTATGAAAAATGCTATTCTTAAATTTACTAAGATATGCTTCATGGTCTGGATCATCATGGCTTAGTTCCCCCCCTTTCCATGGGACTCTAAAACCGCCGGCTTTACTTCAGTTTGTACTCTATAAATTTGCACTTACCGGAAACATTGCCTATTTTCTGTCGGAATGGTGTTTCGTATGTGTGATCGAAACACTTCAAGTTGAGATTCGCAATATGCTTTTATAGCTTCAGAATATTGTAATTTATCCTGATGAAAATATGTCACGATATATTTCTTTTGAGATGTATTTAGACACTTACCTCGTACATCACTTTAATATCGTTGGGATCGTCCGCGTCATATTCTCGTATAACACTGACCACATGATGGGCTGTACCTGGAGCTAAACCTGTAAATGAAACAAATATGCAGATTTTTTAATATATGTTATAAAAGCAGCTCAGATAGTTACTGTCCGAACAAATGTTTGCAGAAATCTCAATTGTTTGGCTTTTTAAAGTATATGCCTAATTCGATAATTTAATTCATCGGAAATAGATATTTCTTTATTCTAATCATCGGAAAAAATAAAATCGGATCGGAAATAGATATTTATAAGATGCTGATGTTTACACTGTGACAATATCTGAAATAATTGGTGATTTCAGATTTCACCACAGTTATGTAATTTTTAAGATGTTAAGGCCCGTCGCTACCAAGTTTTTGACGATTGATTACTAAAGACCGGATTTTAAGCATTTTGCTTATTGCTGAATTTTATAAGCAACCATTAGATTATTTAATTTCTAAACGAATTATACCAAACTA